GATGGTGGGCTTGGGCTTTATGACTGCAGAGCATCAGAGGGGGAACTTGAAGGGTTAAACAGGGGAGGGGGCAGATCTAAGCTTGGGTTCCCCCACTCCCCGAGTGTGGGAGCTTCCCTAGGCTCCCACCAGGAGACACCTGAGCCCATGGCACTTCCCAGGATTCTGAGAGGCAGGGAAGGTACTCTTCCGCTGTGGCTACAGATGGGAAAAGTGAGGCCCAGACTGGTCAATTTTGCCCCCCTTTCTGAGGCCTCAGTTCCCCAGATGAAAACCAAGGCGATTGGACAATGTTATTTCCAAACAGCCGGATTAAGCATCCTACAATTCCGCTTTCCTGCAACCGCACCCCTTCCTTGTGCTTCGGGGCTCTGAAGAGAGCTGGGGGATGGCCTAAGGGTGGGAGGTACAGAGCCTCACTGTTAAGGCGGAGCTGGGGTGCCCTGAGCCCATGGAGCATGCAGGGACCTGACGGGGTTGTGTGGAGGTTGGGAAGGGGCATCAGAGGGTTGTGGAGCTCTGCGCTGTCTCTGACCCTGCTCTCGTCACCACAGAGAAATTCAACACATACGTGACCTTGAAGGTGCAGAACGTCAAGAGTACGACCATTGCTGTCCGGGGCAACCAGCCCAGCTGGGAGCAGGACTTTATGTTGTGAGTCCGCTGGGCTCCCTTCCCTCCGTGTTGAATGCAACTGTTTCTCCCATCTCCGAGGCCGCCAGCCAAGTCCCTGCCGCCGCCTAGCCTCTGTCCTGGCCTCCTGTGCCAACCACCTCCTGCAATCTGTTCTCCACCAGGAAGCCAGGGGGATATTTTTAAAACTGCAAATCACATCCGGTCGCTCCCAGGTTCCACGCTTGCCCGTGGACCTCGGAATAAAACCCTCTTTCCTCCCCACGGCCCCTGAGACCTCCCTCCCACCAGCATCTCCCTCCATAGCCCCTTTGCTCACTGGCCCAGCCCCACGTGCCTCTGCACCACCCTCCAAATCACCCAACCCTTCTGTCTTCAGGGCCTTTGCACATGCAGTTCTTGCCCCCCAGCTGGCTCCTTCTTGTTCTTGCGTCTCAGCTTGTAACACCTCCTGAAGGAAGCCTTCCCTGACCACCACCCCCAAGCTGTGATTTAAGAGCATCCCATCCTTCTCAGGCCTGACCACAATCTGTTGTTTGAGCCATTTGTGTGATTTTTGGACACACATTTCTGTACCCCACCCGTACCTCTAGACTCTGAGTTCCAGGAGGGTGGGATCAGGTCTGTCTCAGTCCCTGCTGTCTCCCTTCCCAAGCACAGGACCTGGCACACAGTAGCTGCTCAATAAGGATTTTTGTCTAATCCCTGAATGAATGAATGACCTTTACTCTTGCCGTAGCCTGGAGCCCCCCAGGACCTCATATCCCCCTACTTATAAAACAACCTTGCACCCCGTCTACTCTGATGATTTGGAATGACTTGTGCCAGGTCCTGTTCTAATGCTTTGCACACATTAATTGAGTCAATTCTGCCCAAAACCCTGGGAGGGGGTTGCTATCATCATTCCCATTTTATAGATGAGGAAAGAGAGGCTCAGAGAGAAAGAACCACCTGCTAATATCACACAGCTTATAAGTGGCGTGGCTGGAATTTGAACCCAGTCACCTTTAACCTCTGGGCCGTTCCCTGAGCAGGGCCTGGCTGGGAATGCTCAGTGGTGGAGGCCACCAGAAGCTCCAGAATTGGAGTCTCCTGGTAGAGTAACATTCCGGGAAGGAAGGAAGGAGCTGGACCCCCAATTGTAGGGGAGATTTGAAGGGGAGAGACAGCATGATCCCAACTCGCTCACAGCCAGTTATTGACTGGCCAGGTCATGGTCAACAGATGTATTCAAAGACAACGTTCCTTAGGCTAAATCTTTGATAAATTGATTCAGTCAGTGAACTGGACATTCACCAAGATTTTCCCACCAAAATCAACAGATTTTGGGGGCGGATCCTGTGGGGAAAGTGCTTAGAGGTGGGATCGTGCTTATGTGAGGGGGTGTCCCCATGTGATTGGAGGGAGACAATGCTAGGAAGGATGGAGGCGCCCCAAATGCCCTTATCCTGGGGTAATAGGGAGCCATTGAAGAAGCTTGAGTCTCTTGCTGGCTAACCCAGAATTGTCAGGTCTGAGCGAGCAAGGCAGGGCCAGGTGTTGGGAGTGTAGGAGACATGTGACATCCTAGTTTTACTGTGAGATGCTGAGCTGGTAATCCTGCTCTGGGCCTCAGTTTCCCCTCTGTGAAATGAGGACCACTGTGTTATCTTGTTTCATCTTCTGGCTTAGCTTGAAGAGAGGTTTGAATTCCAGTCTGCTGGGTGTCCTCAAGTGAGTGAACTGACCTCTCTTAGCCTCCATTACTTCACTTGTGTCCCTTAGTGCCCCTCCGTTCTCTCCACAGCGAGATTAACCGCTTGGACTTGGGGCTGACAGTAGAGGTGTGGAACAAGGGGCTAATCTGGGACACGATGGTGGGCACCGTGTGGATCCCCCTGCGGACCATCCGCCAGTCCAACGAGGTGAGTGGTAGGCCGAGGTGGGGGAGGAGGAGCACCTGTGGCCTCAACAGAATGAATGTTTATCCCCCATCCCATAATAACCTCTACATAGACATCTGGGGCTGCCGTGGAGGCTGCAAAGTCCTCAGGGTCTAGGCTGCTTGCATCTAGTTGCTCTGCTTCCACCTAGTGGCACAAGGTGACTTCACAAGACTCAATATTGCATCTGCATTCCTGCCAGAGAAAGGCAAGATGTCAAGAGAGGGGGCTTGCCCTCATATTTAAGCTGCTCATGGCACTTCCCTCATATCCCATTGGCCAAACTTAACCATGTGGCCACACCTAGCTGCAAGGGAGTCTGGGAAATGGAGTCTTATTCTGTGCACCCATGGCCCGGCTAGAAACGTGTTACTATGGAAAGAGAAGGGAAATGGTGGGCACTAGCATTTGGTGCCCCAGGTGGGCATGATGGCAGGTCACATCAGCCCCAAGGAGAGAGGTGGACAAGAACTCAGGCATCTCAGTCTTCCTGAGGGGTGGCCAATGTCTATTAATCCCTCTCTGTCCCCACAGCCCAGCCCCCACCCCAGACTCCCGCCTGACTTCCTGGCCTTCAGTCCTCTCCCCCTCCACTCAGCCCCTCCATGGGGTCAGCTCCAGGAGGATTTTACTCTTAAGGGCTCTGTCCTGCCTTCCCCTAAGGAAGAAAACCCAACTTCAAATTCACACAGGATTGTACCTGCCCCCTTTGTTGGCCTCATCTTCCACCACACCCAACCTCTACTACTCTCAATCCCCAAGGATGATCTTGGAATCTTCCTTCATGTTTGCTGTTGCCTTGGCTTCCAGTGTCCTCCCATCCATCACCCTCTAGGTCTCAACTCTGATGCTTCCTCCTCCAGGAAGCCCTCTCTAACACTCCCCAGGCCCCTCAGCCCCCTCCCTTCCTTTGACCCAATGCTGACCCCCTGGGACTGGAGGTGTCTGTGTCCACTCTCCCAGGCCCCTCAGCCCCCTCCCTTCCTTTGACCCAATGCTGACCCCCTGGGACTGGAGGTGTCTGTGTCCACTCTGTCCATCTCTTGGGGATCTCAGCACCCCCAGCATGAACTAGGCAGTGGAGACACCAGGGAAGGTTTATTATTTAATGAATGAATGAACAGAGAGGGAGGAAATGAGTACAATAATCTAGGCAAGTGAGGCCAAAAAGAAGCCTTGAGTGGAACTCATATTTTCCTCAGTGGCCCCCAAGTAGGAGGAAAGCTGGACCAAGACCCCCGACCCCCAACCTCTTCCTAGAGCTTCAGAAAGCAGATTCCACAGATCATTCTCATTTAAGAGACGAAGACACTGAGATCAGAGTGGACCCCACTTGGTCAACGGCTCATGTCTCTAAACCAGGGGACACAGGTCCTCAGGAGGATGTTGGCTCATTCACTTAGGGGTGTTTCAGGATGGTGAATGGATCAGGGCTTTCCTCTGAAATCAAGTTCCCATACCCCCCTGTTGGGGGTGGGGGTTGGGCATACAAGGCTGATACCATCCCTGCCTGGCCTCACGGGGCTCTCTCTCTGAGTTCCTCAGACCCACCATTGGCCCTTGAACGGGGACCTCCCCTTTCTGAGCCTCAGTTTCCTTATTTGTAAAGTGGGGGTGCAGTCATTGCTCTCAGGGTAAGGGCGAGATAGGGTGAGATGGATGCCTCATGTGAAAGGATGGAGCCTGCTGGCTGAGACCCTGATCCTGTTCCCACCCCCCCACCCTAGGAGGGCCCTGGAGAGTGGCTGACACTGGACTCCCAGGTCATCATGGCAGACAACGAGATCTGCGGCACCAAAGACCCCACCTTCCATCGCATTCTCCTCGATACCCGCTTCGAGCTGCCTTTAGGTGAGTATGGAGCCTGAGCCCCTTGCCCAGCCCTGCCTCACTTCCTGGGCTCACCCAGAAAGGCCAGGAGAATGGCTGGACCCAGGTGGAGGGGGCCATCCCTTCAGACGAGGGTCCCACCCCCAGAGGAGAGTTTCCCGGCTTGCAGGCATCAGCTGGTGACATGCCTGCTGTGTGCAGAGCACATCCCAGCCCTGCCTGTGCTGTGGGGGAACCACGAGGCTCAAGTCTGAGCTATGGTGGTGCTTGGTGAGGCCTTAGACTGCAGGAGGGAGCTGCGGGTGGGGGGAGAGGCAGAGACAGAGAGACACAAAGACAGAGACAGACATAGAGGGAAAAGCAGAGACAGAGAGGCACTGAGACAAAGAGACAGAAATAGAAAGATATAAAGACAGAGAGACACAGGCAGAACAACAGACAGAGGCAGAGAGAAAAACACAAAGCGGGAGAGACACAGACAGAGGCAGAGACGAAAGAGCCCTGCCCGCCTTTCCTGGAGGCAGCTCCTGTCTCTCCACACTATCCTTCCAACAACCCATGATTCCCCCACCCTTGTAAGACTAGGACACATCTCCCCTTCCACTCTCCATCCATTCCCAAGGTAGCTTTTGGGGGTTCGGGTGTGTGAGGGGGACCGTCTTGTCCTCCCCTCCTCTCCCCCACCCATTCAAGACCAGACCAGCCCCACCCAGACTTTGCCAAAGTCCCCAGAGGCCGGGCCAGAGCCCCGTAGGCAGGCACAGGATGCTCCGGAGGAGGCTGAGGGGCAGCGGGGCTTCCCGGCTCACAGCCCCGGCTCTGCTTCCAGACATTCCTGAGGAGGAGGCACGCTACTGGGCCAAGAAGCTGGAGCAGCTGAATGCCATGAGGGACCAGGATGAGGTGAGCATTTGGGGTGAGAGACTCTTTTTCCTTGTCTCCTCTGTCTCTCTTTGCCTCCTCATATCCTCCTCTCTTTGTTTCTCTCTCAGCTTGTCTTGCTCTGTGTCTGCGTCTCTCTTTGTAACCCAGTTAAATCAGTGGTCCATGTGGTCCAGTCTCACAGCAAGTATGGGATTCCAGGAGCATACAGTCCACCAATCACATCACAATTTCAGACAACTCAAATTCTGCATTTTACAAATGCCCTTCAGGGGATCCAAGATCCTTGAAAGCACTTCTTACACCCTCTTTCTGTCCACACACCGCTCAGGTCCTCAGGTGACACTCAGACTTTCCTAAAAGTCCTCCCTCGCACTAGTCCTAGCCCTTGTGCCTCTTCTTCCATGCCATCCCCTTTCTTCTTGGCCCTGCATCATCACAGTTCAGAGACCCAAAAGTAGCCCTGAAGACAGGAAAGAAATAGAAGGTGAGGCCAGAACATTTTTTTAGTGGGAGGCAGAGGGCAAAGGAGCAACCAAACCAAACCAAATCAGTCGCCAAGTCAACCCTAAATCATAGAGGTCCCATGTGTGTCAGGGTAGGACTGTGTTCCATAGGGTTTTCGATGGCTGATTTTTGAGGCACCTCTTGGTGAACTCAAACCTCCAAACTTTTGGTTAGCAGCCAAGGATATTAACCATTTACATCACCCAGTGTCTTAGTTATTTAGGGCTGCTATAAAAGAAATATCCAAAGTGGATGGCTTTAATAAGTAGAAATTTATTTTCTCGCAGTTTAGGAGACCAGAAGTCCGAATTCAGAGCACTGGCTCCAGAAGAAGGCTTTTTCTCTCTGTTGGCTCTGGAAGGTCCTTGTCTCTGTTTAGCCTGTTTCTTGGTTCCTTGGTGATCCTCATGTGGCTTGGCGTCTGTCTTCCCCCATCTCTCTGTTGTCGTTATTTTTGCTGCTTGCTTAATCTGCTCTTTTATACCTCAAAAGAGATCGACTCAAGGCATGCCCTACACTAATACTGCCTCACTGACATAACAAACAAAACCCTTTCCTGAATGGGATTATAACCACAGGTATAAACCCATTGCTGTCAAGTCAATTTCCGACTCATAGTGACCCTACAGGACAGAGTAAAACCGCACCATACGGTTTACAAGGAGCTCCTGGTGGATTTGAACTGCCGACCTTTCAGTTAGCTGCTGAGCTCTTTAACCACTGCACCACCAGGGCCCCAACCACAGGTATAGGGGGTTAGGATTTACATCACAAATTTTTGGGGAACACAATTCAATCCATAACACCCAGGGACTCCAAAGGACCCACACTCATGTGTTAATAACTTTTGTCCAAACTAATTTTCTTCCTCTTTGTTTAGCTTCCTGCCTTCAACTTTTCTGTCACGTGTTTCCTTCCTTATCTGTCTTTCTTTTTTCTTTTTCTCCATCTCTGTTGCCAACTGTCTGTGTCTGGGTCTCTCTCTTTCCCTCTTTCTTTCTGTCTCTCTTTTGGCTTTTTCTGTCTCTGTTTCTTGCTGTGTCTCTGTCTCTTGATGTCTCTTCCTCTTTTCTCTTTTCTATCTCTGTTTCTTACTGCCTGTCTGTCTCTGGGTATCTCTCGCTTCCTCTTTCTCTCTTTGTCTCTGTGGACACCTGTGTCCTTCTCCTCCAGAGGGAGGGGGCTGGGGAGACAGGGAGGAGTCAAATGGGACAGGACAGAGAACCACCCTGATTCTCTGGCTTCTGCTGCCCTGTGACGAGCCCTCTCTCCTTCCCTCCCCCTCAGTACGCCTTTCAAGATGAGCAAGAGAAGCCTCTTCCTGTCCCCAGCAACCAGTGTTGTAAGTACCTCTCACTTCCTCTCTGGAAGGAGCCCTCATCCCTCCCCACGCTGACTGTCCTAACAGGTCACTCCCAAGAGAGATGCGTCCTGAGTGTGACCACGGTGTCTGCTCATAGTGTAGTGGGAAGAAGAAGAGATCTGGGATTTGGTTTGAATCCTGACTTATTATGCGATCACAGGCAGGCGAGTGCCCCTCTCTGATCCGTGGGGTCCCTGTCTTTGAAATGGGCATCTGATAGCCCCCTTACTCTGAGGGTTGTTGGAAGGACCCAAGGCATCTAAAGGCACAAAAACATTTTGTGGACTCTTCAGTTGCATTCTTAAGATCCTGGATGAGGGCCTATAATTCCTTCAAAAAACTGTTCATAGGGCCAACACATCTGTGTCTGATGGCACAGACAGACATTAATCAAATGAGTCCGCCAACATACATACAATGGACGAAGGCTGTTTCATGTGCCCATTTTCACAGATGAAGAAACTGAAGTCCGAGAGAAGTGACTTGGTCACACAGCCAGCAAGTGGCAGAGCCAGGATTTGAAGTCAGATCTGAGGGACTCCCATTCTGCTTTTCTTTCCACTTTGCCACATCTATTAATTATTATGATCGTCATGTTCCTCTGCCTACTGACCCCGCATTAAGGCTGGAGTTGTCAATGTTGTTTATCTTCCTTGGCCCTTGGTCTGGGACAGTCACCCCCAGACCAGGTCTCTATGGGTCAAAGAGATGTTCCCCCTCCTAAAAGCGTCCTCCAAATCCTCATGGTGGGGAGGAAGTGGCAAATCATACAGCCTCAAAGCAGAACCCCCACCCACCTGTCCCATGGGCCACTGACACCTGGCCCCCCAATCCTGTTCTGCAACCTCCTTCTCCTTTTCCATCTGCTTTCCCATTCTCTTTCCCTCCCCTCTCACAGTCTCCCCTGTATCCGTTGTCCCCCCTATGTGCCTAGGATGGTGGTAATGAAGCTTGGAGGGAAGGGCTAGAGTTCTGCAATTGGGGAACCTCATTTCCACCCTGCCTTGGGATGTGATATTGAGTGGGTCCCTTGACTTCTCTTGGAGGAATTACAAACCCCCTTCCTGGTGAATGGAGTGGGGGCAGGCAAGGTGGGAGCAGGAACAGAGCAACAAATAGTACTTGGAGGTGGAGTGAAGCTGAGGGGTGGTTTGATTTGGAAAATGGAACCCATTGCCCAGCATTTACCTCTGAGTCCTTATGGAAGTGTTTCATTACGCCCATTTCATAGAGGAGGCAGCCAACAGTCAAAGGAGTCAGGGTTCAGTTCCAGGGTATTTTCTGAGATGCCAGACATTGGGAACGAGGGGGTGGAGACGTGGTTCTCTCTCTGGCCCTGATGCTCAGAGGCTGTGTGACTTTGAGCCACTTACTCCACCTCTCTGAGCTTCGTTTCTTCATCTGTACAGTGAAGAGAATGATAAAACCTACCCAACAGGGATGTTTTGAAGCTTAGAGCTTCCGGTTCAGTGTTTCTTTCTTTATCCTCAAGTCGAGGGGGAGGCCCAGTACCCCCTTTGTGACTCTCCGGCTGAGCCTATGGCCTCAGTGAAAAATGGGGATATACCGCCTTCCTCTCAAGATGCTGAGGGCTCGGTGAGAGACAGTGTGACTACTGTCAGCAATTAAAATGATACTCGGGGAAGAGGGGCAGGAAAGCACTGGAGTCCTGGGGTGGGGGAAAAGAGGAGAATGGGGGCACCCTCCTGCCCCCCATGTCCACCCTCTGCCTGCTCCCCTTTATTATCTCTGCCCCTTCTCTTTGTAGGCAACTGGAATTATTTTGGCTGGGGTGAGCAGCAGAGTAAGTACTCAGCTATTCGTTCTGGGTAGTCATGGGGAGGTGGGTGCCTTGGTGACCCCGAGGCCCCCACCCCACTGCACAGGGAAGTGGGGAGCTGTCACAACCCCTCCTGTGCCCTCCTGCCCCTGTCTGGGGGTTCCTGCCCTGCCTGATGGGCAGGGGGAACTGCCGCTGGGGTGGGGGATTCAGCTGGGAGGGGTGGGCATTTAGAATGGAGACCTGCCCTTTCTCCAGCTGGGCACTGTGTCCCCCCACCCCTGCTCCCCATGTATAACTTCATCTCCCTTCCTGTACCCTTGCCTTTTTTGTCTCCCATCTTCCTCCTCTACCAGGAAATGGCTCCAGTGTCACTCATATGGTGGTGGGTGAGGAGGAGCAGGGGGAGGGTCTCAAACAGAAGGGCTGGGCAGGGACCCTCAGGCAGCTATCACTCCAGAAACCTCAGCCCCCAAAGCACCCCACCACGCACACCGCATTCCTTCCCTTTGCCCCCAGGAGAAGGAAGCAAGACCTTCCCAGCTGGATGCTTATTTTTCTCCCTAAGGAATAGCTCCTTCTTCCCATTTACCTGCCCTTTCAAGAGAAATTCAGTCCTTCTAATCTAAGTCAGGAAACCTAAGTGCTGCAGCTGCTAACCAACGGGTCGGCAGTTCGAATCCGCCCGGAACTCCTTGGAAACCCTATGGGGCAGTTCTACTCTGTCCTATAGTCGCTATGGTAACAATCAATTTGCCACAAAACAGGTGATACAGTCAAAATCGAAGGCATTTTTGGTTAAAAACCAATTTGGCTAAAGCTGATAATTGGGTCAAAAGCGAAGACAACTTGGCCAAAAGCAGACCATTTTGTTAAAAAGTGGCCAAAAATAGCTTAGCCAGAAACAGGCAATTTGGTCAAAAACAATTTGATGAAAGGCAGAATCTGGGCAAAAGCAAAGACAATCCAATCAAAGACAATTTGTCCTGCCAAAAGGCAATTTGTCAGGAAAAAAATAAATTGGTGAACACACATACAAACGGCTTCATGTGATTTGGTTGGAAACATCTTGGCAAACGCAAGGACAACTTGGTAGAAAAATACTGATTTGGCTAAAGACTGTACACCCAGATAATTGGGTAGAAATGAAGTTGGTCGGACGAGAAATTTGGTTACATCGACAAAATGTCCACAGTTTTGTGGGGGATCGTTGACAGCATTGCTGTTTCATCCTAATGCACACAAATCTAAATCGCAGGAATTCGTGGCAAGTTTGCCTTGGCTTTTGCTTGTAACGTCAGAGCTAACACACAGCACATCAAATGATGGTCATGTATCACAGGTTCAGAAAGAAAAGCTTGTAGGTCACAGTGGCCCAAGTCAAATGGTAGATCAGGAAACCAAAGATACCTTGGTAAAGATGGCTTTGCTAGCTGAAAATGAATTTAAGATTTTTCTAAAAGCAAAATAACTTTAGGGAACAATCAGAACTTTATCCATGAAGTACAAGATTAATTTTTGAACAATTCACCACATTTAAAAAATGTTTGTAACTATTTTTCAAACGTACAAAAATGGACATGATTAACTAAAAAATAGAGAGTTCAGAGACAAACATCTGGGAAATTAACAAAAACAGTTAAAGACATAAAAAAGGTGCAAACCACCTTCTTGGTATGTAAAATCACCATAAATTCACGTGATGGCTGAGTGTACCATGGGCCACCAAATCAGGATTTCAATTTTCCTTCTTAGCTGACTAGTTTTCAACCAAATTGTTGCTTTCTAACTAAATTGAGTTTCTCCCCTTCCCATCACAATGTAATGTCTCCTTTGACACTGTTCTATGACCTTCACACACAACGCACACACACACACATTAAACTCAGCAAAAGTCCACAGTCCCTGTCGCTGGTCTGAGATTTAGGGATCTGCGATGTCCTCTGCTTTTTTTTTTGTTTGTTTTCTTTTTCTGTACTCTTCGGCCTTTCTACATGAACTCTGTTTTGCTCTACTTTCCAAATAAAGATAACCCAATCGTTCTTTTTTCATTACAAAAGTAACATGTGCGTTGTGAAAACTCAGAAGTTAGAATACATACAATGGCATATGACTCAGCCATAAAGAGAAACGAAGTCCCGATGCATGCCACAGCATGGACGGACCTAGAAACCTTATGCTGAACGCAATAAGTCAGTCTTAAAAGGACAAATCTTGTATGCGCGCACTTACATGAAACAAGCAGATACACGTTGTTGTTGTTAGTTGCCATTAAAAGTCAATTCCTACTCGTGGCGACCCCACGTGTGCAGAGTAGCACTGCTTCATAGGGTTTTCAAGGCTGTGAGCTTTTGGAAGCAGATCGCCAGGCCTGTCTTCCAAGGTGCCTCTGAGTGGGTTTGAACTGCCAACCTTTCAGCTACTAGTCAAGTGCTTAACTATTTGCACCACTCAGGAACTCAAGCAAATATATAGAAACTAAAGTGGTTACCAGGGGTGGGAGGGAGGAGGAAGAGGGGGTAGTTTTTGGTGAGGGGGCATTGAGTTTATCCTAACGGTGGTGGAATGATTTGGAGAAGGATAGTGATATTGATTGCACAACTTAAAGAATGTCATCAGTGTCACTGAATTATACACGTAGAAATTGTTGAGTTGGTGCGTGTTTCGCTGTGTATGTTTTCACCACAATTTAAAAAAAAAAACAGAAGGTAGAGAAAAGGAATAGAAAGGAAAGCTGACCATCCCTGATTATCTTGCTACCCAGACACATTGCTTTTAGAATTAGATTTTTTTTCTTTAAGATTCAGAAAAAAAATTTTTTAAAATCTATTTTACTAAGAAAATCAAACCAAAACATCCCTTCGTTTTTATTAAACACTTGAGGTTTGACAACATCACTGATGTTCCACATTAGTGATAGATTCCGGGTTTGTGGCAGTCTCACCAAATTAAAACATCTAGTCCTTTTTACCACCACTTGTCTGTCAGTTTATCGTATGGTGGTGGCTTGCGTGTTGCTGTGATGCTGGAAGCTATGTCATCAGTATTTCAAATACCAGCAGGGTCACCCATGGCGGACACATTTCAGTGGAGATTCCAGACTAAGACAGATTGGGAAAAAGGGCCTGGTGGTCTACTTCTGAAAAAACTGGCCAGTGAAGACCTTACGGATAACAGTGGAACATTCTCTGATATAGTGCCGGAAGATGAGCCCCTCAGGTTGGAGGGCACTCAAAATGTGACTGGGGAAGGGCTGCCTCCTCAAAGTAGAGTCAACCTTGATGACATAGATGGAGTAAAGCTTTAGGGCCCTTCATTTGCTGATGTGGTATGACTTAAAATGAGAAGAAACAGCTGCAAATAGCCATTAATAATCGGAACAAGGAACGTACCAAGAATAAATTAAGGAAAACTGGAACTCGTCAAAAATGAAATGGAATGCATAAAGATCGATATCCTAGGCATTAGTGAGCTGAAATGGACTGGTATTGGCCATTTTGAATCGGACAATCATGTGGTCTACTATGCCGGGAATGACAAATTGAAGAGGAATGGCGGCGGCGTCATTGTCAAAAAGAACACTTCAACCCCGCACATCCTTTTAACTCAGTACTGAAGTCACTCCTGAGGTTCACCCTTCAGCCAAAGTCCCATAAACAGTAATACACAAAGCTCAACCATGTATACAAGACTAAATGGGCACACCAGCCCAGGGTCAAGGATGAGAAGGCAGGAGGGGACGGGGAAGCTAGAGAATGGAAATGGGGAACCCAAGGTCTAGAAGGGGAGAGTGTTGACGTGTTGCAGAGTTGGCAACAAATGTCACAAAACAGTATGTGTATTAATTGTTTAATGAAAAACTAATTTGCTCTGTAAACCTTCATCTAAAGCACACACACACACAAAAGTACAAACTATAAGGCTAAAATAAGGGGCGGGGGGGAAAGAAAGAACATTTCAAGATCTATCCTGAAGTACAATGCAGTCAGTGATAGGACAATATCCATACGCCTACAAGGAAGACAGGTTAATACAGCTATTATTCAAATTTACATACCAACCACTAATGCCAGAGATGAAAAAGTTGAAGATTTTTACCAGCTTCTGCTGTCTGCAATTGATTGCACATACAATCAAAGTGCATTGATAGTTACTGGTGACTGGAATGTGAAAGTTGGAAACAAAGGATTGGTAGTTGAAATTATGGCCTTAGTGATAGAAATGAAGCCAGCGGTGATCGAATTTTGCAAGACCAACAGCTTATTCACAGCAAATACCTTTTTTCAACAACCTAAACAGTGACTAGACACATGGACCTCGAAGGGTGGAACACACAGGAATCAAATCGACTACATCTGTGCAAAGATACAAAGGAGAAGCTCAGTATCATCAGTCAGAACAAGGCCAGGGGCCAGTTGTGGAACAGACCGTCAATTGCTCATACGCAAGTTCAAGTTGAAGCTGAAGAAAATTAGAACAAGTCCACGAGAGCCAAAGTACGACTTTGAGTATATCCCACCTGAATTTAGAGACTATCTCAAGTATCACCTCATATGCCTGTGCAAGTTGGACAATGGATGAGTAAGACAGACCAAAGAAGAATTGATGGCTTTGAATTATGGTGTTGGCGAAGAATATTGAATATACCATGGCCTGCCAGAAGAATGAACAAATCTGTCTTGGAAGAAGTACAAACAGAATGCTCATTGGAAGCAAAGATGGCGAGACTTCGTCTCACATACTTTGAACATGTTATCAGGAGGGACCAGTCCCTGGAGAAGGACAACATGCTTGGTAGAGTAGAGGGTCAGCGAAAAAGAGGAAGATCTTCAACAAGATGGACTAACACAGTGGCACAATGATGGGCTCAAGTGTAGCATCAATTGTGAGGATGGCGCAGGACCAGGCAGTGTCTTGTTCTGTTATGCAGGGGGTCACTATAAGTTGGAAGCTACTTGACGACACCTAACAATAACAACAGTCCTTTTTGAGGGAGACAGTATCTTTCACAGCCTTTTCTTTGTTTCTGCACCTTTGAGTTTGGGTCTACGGTCCCCACCTTTCGGATAATCAGGAAATCTCTCTGAATTAAAGAGCATTTATTCCACCTGGTCCACCTGGTAGCCCTCCAGCTTCCCCTAAGTGCTTGCATGTGTGCCTCCTCTTATGGGGAGCTCACTGCCTGATGGAAAAATCCATCTCATTTTCAGAGTCCCAAGTTTGGCAAAGTCCCTCCTTACGTTTAGCAGAAAGCCACCTCATAATTTGTCCTTGTCCTCTTCACATTGTAGGACCCACCTTGCGCCCCAGACTTCAGGTCCAGTTTGGTCTACATGAGGCAAAGCAAGGTTTTCACCTCCCTTTACTCTAAAGCTTATGTCTTTATTAACATGACCCAAGAGCCTTCATCTATTCTGAGAAAAGTTCCTCTTCTTGGATTAGCAGCCAGTGAGGACCCTCTAAGTCTGGGAGACTGCATTGGCCCCTATTGTGTGCTCTCACTCTCTCTTCCCTCCTCACCTTCTTCCCTACCTCCTTTCTTTTCCAGACGAAGACCCTGACAGTGCGGTGGATGATCGTGACAGTGACTACCGCAGTGAGACCAGCAATAGCATCCCGCCACCCTATTACACCACGTCACAGCCCAATGCCTCCGTCCACCAGTATTCCGTCCGTCCACTGCCCCTGGGCTCCCGGGAATCCTACAGTGACTCCAGGCACAGTTATGAAGAGTTCTCGGAGCCACGGGCCCTCAGGTAGCCACTGTGGGGTGGGGTGTGAGTGAGGGTCCTTCTTTGTCCCCTGGAGAGGAGACAGCAGTGTAGGGCAGTAGGTAGCTGGAAGTGGAGGGGAAGCAGATCTTGGAGACCAGCACCCACTCCTTTCTTGTGGGAAATAGAGCTCTTTCTTTGCTCAAACTCTTGCAACAAAATTCCAAGAGTTCGATACAAGTGGGTCTGCTTTGGCAGAAGAAAGGGGAGGAAGTTAAGAGGCCCCTGAGTGGTTCCCCTGAAATATGGGGGCTCCTTGGCGCTGCTTTTAAAAGCCACTGTTCCCCGTGTACTCTCTAATTGGGCTGGAAGGCAAAAAAGAGATGAGGATTAATGAGGGTGGGGGGAGGTGGTGCAGTGAGGCATAGTGATATTGGAAAGACTCCCAGGGAGCAGCTGGTTGGTGGTCCTGGGTGGACGTGCCCAGCCCTCCCTGGTGGCCCCCTGTCCTCATGTCCCCGCCTGGCGGGTGTGGGCCCTGCTCAGTCCAACTGCCATCACTCCTTCCTTGAAAGCAGGCTATCCCCACAAAAATCCATGATGGGAAAAAATTCACCAAAATACACCCTTAAAAAAGTGGATTTTATTGTGTGTCAGATAGGTGGGTCTCCAGCCTATGTGGGCCACCCACTGACCAGTGCTGTGTGCTGATCCTTGAGCCTCGGAGGCTGAAGTCCACACCTGCCGTCCCTCCTCACCACCCCCTGATCGCCCCAGCCCTGGTTTCTAAAGCAAACAATGACAAACAGGACATTAAACAAATTGAATATGTGTAAAGCACTTAGGGCGGTGTCTGGAAGTGCTACATAGTGATTGTTAGGTAAACAATTGCACAAATAATGGTATCATGAGCTGACTATGTGCCCAGTGCTGGTCCAGAACCTTCTCTGCACCATCTTATTTCATTCTCTGGGTGGGAATACTACCGATTCCATTTGGCCTATGGGGAATCGAAGCACAGAGAGGTTAAGTAAGTTGCCTGAGGTCACACAGCTGGCAAATCATTGTAAGAAATAACATTTATGGTGGATCTGCTGAGTGTCAGGCAGTGATGTGGTGTGATTTTTGGTCGTTGAGTCCTCTTCCCAGATGGTTGTCCCCCCATCACCTCCCAAGAGTACATTTCCTCCATTGAAGGGTGAGCAGGAAGGAAATTTTGAGTACTTGGTACTCCTCTGGTGTTGAATGGATACTTCTATTAATATGGCCCCAGTAATGTAGAACCTATGTTGTTGTTAGGTGCCGTCGAGTTGGTTCCGACTCATAGCGACCCTACGCACCACAGAATGAAACACTGCCTGGTCCTGCGCCATCCCCCCAATTGTTGCTATAGTTGAGCCCATTGTTGCAGCCACTGTGTCAGTCCATCTCGTTGAGGGTCTTCCTCTCTTTCGCTGACCTTGTACTTTACCAGGCATGATCTCCTTCTCCAGGGACTGATCCCTCCTGACAACATGTCCAAAGTATGTGAGACGCAGTCTCGCTGTCCTTACTTCTAGGACGCATTCAGGCTGTACTTCTTCCAAGACAGATTTGTTCTTTCTTTTGGCAGTCCATGGTATATTCAATATTCTTCACCAACACCACAATTCAAAGACGTCAATTCTTCGGTCTTTCTTATTCATTGTCCAGCTTTTGCATGCATATGAGGCAGTTGAAAATACCTTGGCTTGGGTCAGGTGCACCTTAGTCCTCAAGGTGACATCTTTGCTTTTGAATAAAGAAGTCTTTTGTAGCCGATTTGCCCAACGCAATGCGTCTTTTGATTTCTTGACTGCTGCTTCCATGGGTATTGATTGTGGATCCAAGTAAAATGAAATCCTTGACAACCTCAGTCTTTTCTCCATTTATCATGATGTAGGTTATTGGTCCAGTTGCGAGGATTTTTGTTTTCTTTATGTTGAGCTGTAATGCATACTGGAGGCTGTGGTATTTGATCTTCATCAGTAAGTGCTTCAAGTCCTCTTCACTTTCAGCAAGCAAGGTTTGTGTCATCTGCATAATGCAGTTTATTAATTAGTCTTCCTCCAATCCCAATGCCCCGTTCTTCTTCATATAGTCCAGCTTCTCAGATTATTTGTTCAGCATACAGATTGAATAGGTATGGCGAAAGGATACAACCCTGACGCACACCTTTCCTGACTTTAAACCATACAGTATCCCCTCGTTCTGTTCGAACAACTGCCTCTTGATCCATGTACAGATTCCTCATGAGCACAATTAAGTGTTCTGGAATTCCCATTCTCTGCAATGTTATCCATAATTTGTTATGATCCACACAGTCAAATGCCTTAGCATAGTCTGTAAAACACTGGTAAACATCATTCTGGTATTCTCTGCTTTCAGCCAGGATCCATCTGACATCAGCAATGATATCCCTGGTTCCACACCCTCTTCTAAATACAGGTTGAATTTCTGGGAGTTCCCTGTTGATATACTGCTACAGGCTCTTTTGAATGATCTTCAGCACAATTTTACTTGCATGTGATATTAATGATATTGTTCGATCATTTCCACATTCGGTTGGATCACCTTTCTTGGGAATAGGCATAAATATGGATCTCTTCCAATCAGTTGGCTAGGTAGCTGTCTTCCAAATTTCTTGGCATAGACAAATGAGCACTTCTAGAGCTGCAGCCACTTGTTGAAACATCGTAGAACCTATATTTCTATTAATATGGCCCAAAAATGTACTCCCTTCGGTTGAATCTATACTTCTATTAATATAGCCCAAAAATATACTCCCTTGTGTTGAACATATACTTCTATTAGTATGGCCAAAAAATGTACTCCCATAGTGTAGAACCTATACTTCTATTAATATAGCCAAAAAATATACTCCCTTGGTGTTGAACCTATACTTCTATTAATATAGCAAAAAAAATCACTTTAAGATTTTAGATTCCGTTCATACAAACCCCAGGGCCTGTTACTGTGAGAACCTGACAGATATCTCAGGTATCTGAGATTTAGGATTAGGGTGAGGCGTGTGAGGCAGTTGTCTCAGGTGCAAAATTTAAGGGAGTGCCAAAATACTCTATCCAAGGTAAATAATATTTAATGCAGTGTTTTTAAAAATCAAAATGAATGCACAAAAATCCACGATGGGAAAAAAGTCACCAAAATATAAGGTGGACTTTATTGTGTGTGAATTATACTTCAATAAAAATATTAAAATTCCTGATGAACAAAATATCAAAATTTTAAGTAAAGACAGAATTCGACCTTGTACTTGCCCGACTCAGCCTCACCCACTTCACCCAAGTCCTGGCCCTGCTGTGCTCGTCTCTAAGCAAGAAAATGAGTCCCTGGATGGTGCAAATGGTTAAATGCTCAACTACTATTAAAAGGCTGGTGGTTCAAACACACCCAGAGGGACCTCGGAAGACAGACCTGGCGATCTGCTTCCAAAAGGTCACAGCTTTGAAAACTCTATGGAGCAATTCTACTCTGCACTCGAGTCGGAAGCAACTTGACTGAAACTAGCAACAATAAGAAGCAAGAAAAAATGATGATGGTTAATCGAGCACTCACTATATCCTAGGGATTCTAATGAGTCCTAACTAATTCATCTATGAGGTGGGGACTAATATCATTTCCCCACAAGTTTGTAGATGTGGGAAGTGAGGCACAGAGAGGTTAAGTGACTTTCTCAGTGGCACACAGCTAGTAAGTGGCTGAGCCAGGATTTGAACCCCGGCAAGCAGACTACAGGATCCACATCCATAGCTACACCACCACACTGCCTCTCAGCCCTAAAAGGGGCACATGGGAACGCACAAGGGTAATCTCCCAAGGTCCCACAGCTGGACAAGGATGATTTTCCCTTTGCATCATGCGGCAGAAATGTAGGTGAAGAGGAAGTCCCTGCCTTCTCTGTGTTCCCAGGAGCACTTTCAGTGTTGGATCCCTCAAAACCACCCTGCAAGGAACAAGTGGCTCCACATGAAACAAATCAGAGTCAACACTCAGTTACACAAAATCGCATAGCCTCCTGAATTGCGGACCTTCTCAGAGCCTTGGTGAAGATGTTAATTACACAAACAAACAAACAAACATTGACATCATGGCTGAGGAACCCTCGGAATCATTTTATTTCACAAACTGTTTGCACTTGACTGCTATCCTGAAGGTTGGCAGTTTGAACTCACCCAGCGGTACTGCGGAAGAGGGCCCTGGCAATCTGCTTCCGTTAAGAGTACAGTCGAGAAAACCTTATGAAGCACAATTCTACTCTGCACACACGGGGTCGCCATGAGTCAGAATCGACTTGATGGCAGCTGACAACAAAGTGCAGTAAGAAAGCAAATTATAAGTTGCTCATGTTTATGCCGTCAAGGGAAACTGAGCTTTTAGCACTGTGCTGTCCAATATGGTAGCTGTTATCTGCATTTGGCTTCTTCAAGTTAAACTTCAATTAATTAAAATAAAATAAAAATTCAGTTCCTCAGTTGTACTAGACACATTTCAAGCGCTCCATAGCTGCACATGGCTCATGGTGACCGAATTGGACAGCACGAATAGAAAACCTTCTCATCTTCTCAGAATGTTCTATGGGATACAGCTGTAAAGGGTTTGGGGACTGAACAATTTGAAGAAAATCTTCCTAAATTTCCTACTCCATCTTCAGCATCAGCTGATACAATGTTTAAAGCATCATTAATTCTGCCCCACATGACTCAGACTTAAGCTATTATTGGAACCAAGTTTCAGCCATTGGACACGGCTGAAGGACAAGGAAGATATTAAATATAATACAATATTAACTCTTAGAAGAAGAGAAAGTCTTCTCTTAGAGAAAGAGTGCAGGAGAGCAGAAAACCCATCGAAGCACTTTTCTTTTTGAGGGGAAACAATTCGCTGACCCTTTTCTCTGTGAGTGTCTGGGCAGGGGCTCCCCACAATCTCTATGAGTGCCCGTGAGACCGGGCAGTGCAGGGTGGATAGTGCCCATGTGAAACCGAGGCTCACAAGGCAGGAGTGAGTTGCCTGAGTCACAAGCTGGGTGTGCACCAAGACTCTCTGGGTGTGTTTATCTGTCCCTGGTGGAGTCTGTCTGTTGTGAGCATTCCTGGGAGGAGATGCGGGAATAGAAAGGAGAAGCCCCACCCCTTGTGCCGTGGGCAGGCCACGCAGGGGTGAGGTGAGACTTTCCAGAGTTGAGTTTTGCAAGTGGGCAGGGGGTTGTTGTTAGTTGCCACTGAGTTGATTCTGACTTATGGCAACCCTATATGTTACAGAGTAGAACTGCTCCATAGGGTTTTCTTGGCTGTAATCTTAACAAAAGCAGATCACCAGGACTTTCTTTCATGGCACCACGGGGTGGGTTCAAACCAACAACCTTTAGGTTTGCAGTCAAGCACAAACCATTTGCACCACCCAGGGACCTGTAGAAATAGAAACTAGCTGGGTTCTCCTGACAGTGCCTTGAGCCCCTCGCCCCAGTTGCCCCTCCAGCGGGGCCGCCCAGAGCTACCCCGAACGACTAGGGGAAACAGTCAGACACAGACATTCCCAGCCCTCGAGGTCAGGGCTTAATCAGAGGGAGGAGTGGGGCTGGACACTCTAGGAGGAAGGCAGGGAGGGCTTCCTGGAGGCGGGTGCATGGGAGGTGGATCTTGAAGGACAAACAAGGTGGCTGGGGAGGGAAAGGGAATTCCAGGCAGAGGAAATAGCTTGGCTAAAGGCTGGAGGGGTGGAAGGGCCAGGTCATGCAGGAAGCCCTTGGGTGCCAAACTCAAGAGTGTGGACTTGATCCAGAGACCACTGGGAAGCAGGGGAGGTGCTGAGTGGGGCCAGAGCTGTGCTGAGACCCTGGATGTCTGAGCCAAGGTTGAGGAGTCTCCAGGTCCCACGCCTCGGTTTGAGAAGCAGCCGCAAAGCCTTACCAGGGACCCTAGGATGTGCTGGGGTGGACTTCACCCTACTGGTGAGCCCGGGGTCCTTTGTTACAGCAAAAAAAAACAAAAAAAAAACAAAAAAAAACTTGCTCACCACCCCCATTCTGTCTCCTGCCTGAAACAATTGTTGTTAGTTACCCTCCAGTCAATTCCAAATCATGTGTGCAGAGTAGAACTGCTCTATAGGGTTTTCAAGGCTGTGACCTTTTGGAAGCAGATCACCAGGTCTGTCTTTCTAGGCATCTCTGGGTAGGTTCGAACTGGCAGCCATTTGGCTAGTAGTTCAGCGCCCTACCATTTGTGTCACCCAGGGGGTCCTGCCACAATAACCAGAAACCAAACTTGTTACTGTCAAGTCGATTCTGACTCATAGCGACCCTATAGGACAGAGTAGAACTGCTCCGTAGTGTTTCCAAGAAGCGGCTGGTGGGTTTGAACTGCCAACCTTTTGATTTGCAGCCTGAGCTCTTAACCACTGTGCCACCAGGGCTCCCCTGCTACAATGACAGGAACTAAATATGTAAACTAATAAGAACTGGAAGGAGAAAGCCCCATTTTGTTTCTTACAGCGTCTCCGGGACTGGCCAGGGAAGGGGGGCCCAGGCAATGAGAATGGACAGAGTATTTAGGATAGGAAGTGAGAAGTTTGTTGAGTGACTAAATGGGTGCTTGGAAAAGGGATGAATGGTGGCCCATAAGTCATGGTGCCTGCCTGTCCCTGGGCAGAGATAGATATTTCTTCCTGGTTTAGGGGGCTCTAGGAGCTGATAATGGTGACCCTGACCTGGCGGGGCTAGGGGAGGCTTACCCAAAGAAGTGACATTTTAGTGGGCAACGGAAGGCTGAGTAGGAGTTTGCCAGATAAAGCAGGCGAGGAAGGGTGATCCAGGCAGAGGGCACAGCACGTGCAAAGGTCCAAGGGTGGGAACAAGTTTAGGTTGTTGGAGGAACAGTGAGGAAGGAAGTGAGGGGGAGATGGAAGGAAAGGAAGGTTGGGAGGTTGGAGGGTTTGGGCCACACGGGGGAGAAAGGACGTGGCATGTGTTTTGTTCCAAGGTACAATAGGGAACCATGGTAGAATTTGGAGTAGGGGAGGGATATGATTGGGTTGTAATTTTAAGAAGCCCCCCTATGGCTGCCGTGGGAAGCAGGGCCTCTCAGGGATATGGTGGAGCCTGGATCAGAGAGAGGCCCAGGACACAGAGAAGTGGTTCGATTTGGGCTATATTTTTGTGGGAGAGCTACGAGGACTTGCTGCAGGATCAGCTGTGGAGGGAGGTTGAAGCAAAGAGAGGAGGCAGGGAAGACCCAGTCCCTGGCCTGGGAGGCCTAGGTTGAGACCAAGGGGCATCAAGAGCCGAGTGTGGCCACGTTTAAGTTTCAGGAGCTCTAGGTGTCCCGGGGAGCCCTGGTGGCGCAGAGGTTAAGAGCTCGGCTGCTAACCAGAAGGCCAGCAGTTTGAATACACCCAGCAGCTCCACGGAAGAAAGGCCTGGTGATCTGCTTCCATAAAGATTACAGCCACGACAACCCTATGGGGCAGTTCTACTCCGTAACACATGGGGTTGCCATGAGTTGGAGTCAACTCGATGGTGGCAGCTTTGTGTTTTTCATTGTAGACGGCAGGGGAAAGGATGCAGGTGGTGGGGTGAGCAGGTATTTTTCTTCCCTAGACCATAAACTCCATGAGGGCAAGGAATTTTGTCTCTTCTGTTCACGGCTGCATGTCCCTGGGCAGGGTCTGGCACACAGTAGCGAAAAAAAAAAAAAAAAAAAAACCAAGCCCATTGCCACTGAGTCAATTCTGACTTATAACAACCCTATGTGTTACAGAGTAGAACTGCTTCACGGGGTAAGTTTGAACTGCCAACCTTTTGGTTGGTAGCCAGGTGCAAACTACTTGTGGCACCCAGGGACTTAGCACTGGCACATGGTAGGTGCTCAGTAAATGACTGGCCCCGGTCTCCCCGCAGCCCCACTGGCAGCAGCCGCTATGCCTCCTCGGGAGAGCTGAGCCAGGGCAGCTCACAGCTCAGTGAGGACTTCGACCCAGATGAGCAGAGCCTGCAGGGCTCTGAGCTGGAGGACGAGAGGGACCGGGACTCCTACCACTCGTGCCACAGCTCAGTGAGCTACCACAAGGACTCACCGCGCTGGGACCAGGACGAGGAGGAGCTGGACGAGGACTTGGAGGAGGATCTGGAGGACTTCCTGGAGGAGGAGCTGCCTGAAGATGAGGAGGAGCTGGAGGAGGAGGAGGAAGAGGAGGTGCCAGACGATGTTGATCTGGCACGGGGTGGCTACTCCAGGCGTGAGGAGCCGCCGGTGTCTGAGCCCAAGGACTTCAAGCGTATCAGCCTCCCACCGGCCATCCCCGAAAAGGAGGATAAGGCTCCGGCTGCACCCGCCGAGGCCCCCGATGTGGCCAAGGTGGCCCCCAAGCCAACTATGCCTGAGGAGGGACCCCTGGCTGAGCGGATGACCAAGCTGGAGTCCCCCAAGGCAGAGGAGAGGTAAGAGGGGGTCACAGGAGCACGGGGTCCTCATGGGGTCAGAGTGGACCTGGGTAGGAGCCAGAGGTTGTCATGGAGTCATGGGGTTTATAGAAGGGATTGGAGGTGACAGGATGGATTATGGAAGTCAAAGCAGTTTTAGGGGTCTCGAAGGGGTGTTAGGATTTGGGAGGGTGCTGGAGGGCCTGTCAGAGTTGGAGAGGTCACAGAGGGTCAGAAGGACGCTGGGAGCATAAGAGGTGACAAAGGGTCAGGGGCAGGGGAGTTGAGGAGGGAGCCAGGGGTCTTAAAGGTGTCAGAGAGGTGCTGGTGGGAGGGAGAGGGGTGAAGGGGCTCGTCAGAGAGGTCAGATGTGGACCAGGGTGGCTCTGAAGGGCCAGAGACGCCATGGAGGGCTGGTGTCGCTCTGAGAGTAGAGGGAAGATCAGGAGTCACGGAGAGCCAGCCCTAGAGACTCACAACACCTCTGCTTTAGTTTCAGGCCGCGGGAGGATCAGGAGGGTCAGGAGGGTCAGGACTCCATGTCCAGGGCCAAAGCCAACTGGCTGCGAGTCTTCAACAAGGTGCGGATGCAGCTGCAGGAGGTGAGTGAGAGCCCCAGCCACCCGCCCGCGCCCCGCCCGCGCCCAGCACATAACCACGCCTCGATCTACCTACAACAGGTCCAAGCCCCGCCCACACTCAGCTGGGCCACATGCCCATCAGCCTCCCCTTTGTCCAGCCTGGCCACGCCCCCACCCAGTCCACAACTAGTCCATGTCCCGCCCACACAGTCTGACCACGTCCTCGTCTGACCACACCTAGCCCAGGCCCGGCCCACATACAGCCTGGTCTTGCCGGCACGGAGCCCACACGCCACCTAATTTACCATGCGACTCATGTTTACCCTTTAGTTGTGAGACAGTGGGGGAGATGGGGATGTCGCCTGGACCCTGGGTCTCAGCTGAGATCCGAGTGATGAACAGAGGCTGGTTGGGCCCAGAAGGCAGGAAAGGTGTACAGGCAGGTGGCACAGCTCAAGCAAATGTCCTGGGGCATGAGAGCGGGTCAAGCAAGTGAGGCTGCAAGGAATTTAGGGAATGTCAGGATCTTAAGAGTGTAGCCCTTGAGAATTCCCTGGTTACGGAACATGATGCTGTTGTTGGAGATGATGTTAACGAATTCCCAGGTTTGAAAGATGAGACCGAGGTAGCTGCAGAGAGGAGCTCCTCTCTCCCCGAGCCCATTTTAAAGATGAACAAACTAAGGCCCAGAGAAAGCCAGTGAGCTCCCCAAGGGCACACAGCAAGGACTAGGACTCAAGCCTCTGACCCCCGTCCAAAGGGGACACAGAAGTGGGTGTGGAGCTGCCCTGCCCTGGGAAGAGGAAGGGCGGCCACAATGACCATGTCTGTCTGTCCATCCCACAGGCCCGGGGAGAAGGAGAGATGTCAAAATCCCTGTGGTTCAAAGGCGGGTGAGTAACAGGGCTGTGGGGAGAGCTTTTGAATGCAAAGCTGAAGGCTGGTTTGCCCCCAGGGCCTCAACGCAGCAAAGATGGGCAGAGGTTCCATTTATGAGGGAGACAGACCATGCTTGAGCCACTCTCACGTGGCACTTACCAAGTCCAGGAGCTGAAGATAGTAACACATTAATCGTTACAGCAAACCCATTTCACAGATGGGGAGACTGAGTACAGAGAGGTTCATGGCTAGCCAAAGCCACTTGCATAATTCAAGATCATTTCCCCCTAGAAATAAACGTAAGATAAAGGAGAAACCCATTTCTTGCTCCATGTGTACACTACGCTGGAGTGAATCATTTGCTTTGATTCTACTTTTAATTTCTTAGATTATTGCTAAAGTTGCTGGCTCTTTAATTAATGATAGTGTTTGGCCTTAAGGTCCCTGGGTAGCACCAGTGATTTGTGCAAAAAGTTGACAGTTTGAGTTCACCCGGAGGCACCTTGGAAGAAAGACCAAGCGATCTGCTTCCATTAAGATTACAGCCCAACAAAAGTTATGAACAGGCACTTCGCCCAAAGAAGATATTCAGGCGGCTAACAGACATATGAAGAAATGCTCACGATCATTAGCCATTAGAGAAATGCAGATCAAAACTACTATGAGATATCATCTCAGCACAACAAGGCTAGCATTAATCCAAAAACACAAAATAATAAATGCTGG